GTAGGGGTGTGGGTGTGGGTGTGGGTGTGGGTGTGGGGTGTGGGGTGTGGGTGTGGGTGTAGATGGGATCTCTTCCACTACGCCCACATCCACACCCACACCCCACACTCACACCCACACCCACACCCATACCCACACCCACCCACACCCACCCTCACCCACACCCACACCCGTGTAGGCCCTAAAAACCCGGCTAAAAACTGTCTTGGTGTCCATGGCACACGACCGGATTCCCCAGACTCATTGACATATCTCTCGAGTGGGAGGGATATGAATTATATGAATCTGTCCCGTGCGCACATGAGCGCTACACTCGCCACGGCGCCACCAGAATGGTTCCTGGTCGCGCGCGCGAATAGAATAGACATTGTTTTCATCAATTCAACGGGATTCATTTGAGAGAAAGGAAAGAAAAAAATAATCCATTGTAAGGAGTCTATTCGATTGAAAAACGTTGAACACGATTATTCAACAAATCGACGACATAGAGATTGCCATGTCGATCGAAGGACAAACCCATGGGATAGGCGAACTGATTTGCTCCTTTTCCTTCACCATTTCCACCCACAATGACAGTGCCCTGTTTCTCTCCTTCAGGCCAACGCATCACTCGATGATTCCCATGGTCTGCCACATAGATGATACCCAATGTATCGACGAACAGTCCTGCAGGATACGACAATTGTGTCAGAGTAGTCCCTTCGCCTTGACCTCCAGCGACGATAATTCCTTCTTTTGCACCTTTATTCCATTTCATTACACGATGATTGTTTTTGTCTGACACGTAGACAGCCTGTTGTTGATCTACAAAGACGTAGAACGGACATCTGAGTTGATTGAGACCATCACCTTCGCTATTGCCACCAGCCACGATGGTTCCATTCTTATCTTCTATCTGATATCGTCTTACTTCATGTTCTTTGTAGTCAGAGATGTAGAGATATCTCTGATCACCCATGACCACTCTTGTACAAGCGATGTTGTCGATGAGGATTTCTCCTTGAGTTGTACCACTACGATGAGGCCACCGTACGACTCGTCGATTTGTTTGATCACAGATAATGAGACTATTCGTCTCTTTGTCGATCAACATATCGGTTGGACAATACAATTGATCCAATCTATTTCCTTGGCCATTGCCACCAGCTATCACTTGTCCATTCGTATCACCCATTTTCCATTGGATGATACGATGATTGTCGAAGTCAGCGATAATCATCGTTTGATCATCATCAACGAAGAGACCATGAGGCAAGTTGAGTTGATCGGTGGCATTGCCCGATCCATGGCCTCCAGCAACAGTCACCCCATTCTGCTTCCATTGAGCATCGACTGGAATATTGGGAATTACTACAATGAACGAAAAAGAAAAGGAATCATCGTTATCGAAGAGATCCTCCTCTCTCTCGCGGGAGAAAGAGCTATGAAGGAGACATTCGTCTTCTTCGAAGAGAATTAGGTAAAACTTCCAATGATGTTCTTTCCGCAGATAAAAATTCAGAAGTCTTTTCCTAGTTTCCTATGAAAAAGAAGGACTTGGTAACGATTCTTACATCTGTGTCACTTTTGGTTCTTCCCAAGATCTCTAAGATGCCAAAAAAGTAGAGCATTCACAGTGGATGAAAATTGTACGTAAGCTTTCGATAGAAAAATATAAGGATCTGAGGATTTTATTTGTAAACCCGAGAATGCAGAATCTTTTGCAGGATGATTCCCTAGTGAAAGTACTCATCAAGCGAGTACGACTTTACAGTGTGAGTACTCTTATTACTCGTGCGAGTACTCGAAAAATTTAAGGTGTAAGTATACTCGTCATGTACTCCGATGAGTACTCGTACGAGTTTTTCTTTGAAGATTTACTCATAGACAGATATATGAGTACCCCATGTAGTACTCATTCTCGTTTTTTTCGCAGAATATTTAGCAAAACACTTATGCACTAGCATGCATAAAAATGAATTGGAATTATATAAAAAAAGGAAATGATGCAATGAAATGAAAAATAGACAAAAACTGTTTTAATGAATTATTTATTTCATTCTCTATCCCTTTCTGATGAGTCATTTATATGACTAAAATAAATGGTGACTTGACGATAGAAAAGAAAAACGATTTTCCTTATTCATTTGTTAACATTCCCAGTAAGATAAAGTTTTTTTTTTAAATATTAATGTAAATTCGCTTTAATTTTATTTCCTAAACTTAAGTAAAAAATCTTCGTTTAAAATACAACTTTTCAGATTGGCCGTAAAATGCTATGAAACGAATTACACCTAATGACTTTTGGTACAAATCGATCGCAATTTTAACATAAGAAGATGAGTGAATAAAGTATAGACAAATAGTTTTATTTTATATTTATGTTTTTTTTTGTAAAATCTCAGATGAATATAGATAGTTAGGAAGTTAAAAATGTCTCTGTTAATTTTTTTTTGTGCAATAAGCGATACTGTACGTTTATTTATTATCATATTTCTCATGATCACTGATTAATTTATTATTTTTTCTCCTTCACTATATTTTACTATCCTTAATTCGTGTTTTATTGTACTCTCACTCTAAGGTATAGACAATAAATCTTCATTATCAAAAAAAAAATGGTTAACTATTTTCTTTACTTTTAAATAATGAAAATATGATTTTATTTTTTGAAAGAAAAATGAAAAGAATCAATAAAATTGTATTTTTTTTTATAGAAAAATAAAAAAATGTTTATTTTTCTTTGCTGATGATGAATATTTCTATGTCTGTATTCTTTGTGTTAAACTATACGAAATTGAGGTTAAACTTGTAGTTCTCATTTTGATCGTTTCACTCGAATTTTCATTGTGTGCGTCTGTATTTTTTTAATATTTCAATATTAAATAAAAATTGATGTAGTACAACGGTACCAATCAAAACATATGATTGTGAGTATTTTATATAGGCCTGAAGAGTACACAGAAATTAGACAAGAGTACTCACAAAACACTCAATATTACACCGCGAGTACTCGATCGTCGTACTCAAATACTCAGATTCTAGCACGAGTACGACTGATGAGTACTCAAAGCCTGTGAGTACTCGTGACATTTTCCAGCGTGAGTACTTTTTGAGTACTCGCCTATGAGTACCTTCACTAGGGTTATTTGTACAGCTTGATTCACATTATTTTTGATAGTTTTGTGCAGTTTACTGTATCTATACGAAACATCAGAGATTTTTTATTTTCATATAGCTGGATAGAACATCAATTATTCTATCGATTTAAATAGTTTCTATTTTATTGATTTTACATCTTATCCAAAAATTCAATAAAGTTCGAGAAGAACTGTAACGAAACTTTTGCACTCTCATAGTTCAGCAAATGTCACTTCCTCGTACAAAAAATATTTAGCAAAACGAACTTGAAAGTGTAAAGAAAAATGACTTTTACTGTTAAGTTTTGGTCTATTTTTGTATCGATGAAAAACCAAGTTTGTAGTACTTTTCGCAATAATTCATCTGTAAGACTGGACGTAAGTCTAATCCAAATTATATAAATCGATAGAGGCATCAATGGGGAGCAGGACAATTGCGTGTAAGATAATTGTGTGAAAGACAATTGTGTGGATGGATAATTGTGTGTACAGTCCGTTATGTGCAAATAAATATATAGTCAAAAAATGAACGCCAATCATCACAGATGAAAGCACACAAAAATAAATCAAGATGAACAAATGAATGAATAATAATGACATAAATGTATGAGCAGTCGTTTTTAATTTTTCTATATTATCAAATGGGTGACAACTTCTTATTCTCACGTCTTTTAAATATGTTCAAGGAAAAATGATCATTTACAGGTAATGTGTCCGAATGTCGAGTTGAAAAATCTCGAGAAAATCTATTTTGCTTTACAACAACAGCACTGGCAATATTTCTGAAAAATGTGACTTTGTTCACTCAAAACCCCATGTGTGGGTGTTACTGCAAATAAAGTCCTTTGGCAAGAATTTTAGTTCGAGACAAACGAATTTATATAAGACTCAGGGAGAAGTGACCATTTCCAAAGTTTTTACCAGCTCTAGTTCGAGATGACATTATTTTCGAAATAAAATATTTCGACATTTTGCACCTTGAAGATTGTCATTTTTAAGATTTTCCGTTTTCGAGGTTTATGTTTTTGAGATTTTTTCGGGATTCCGACAATAATTCCATTTACATACTCTTTTTATTTTGTATATAATTAGTGGAACTTAAATAAATCGTCACTTGTGTTCAATATATTTACAAAAATGATGAAGTCATATCTTTATCATGTATACGCAGTATCTAGTAGTACAATGATTAATTCATTTGTTCTAAGTCTTGAGCTTTTGCATACAACTGATGTGTACATGATCGTTGTTCTCATAATTGTCTTGAGACAATTGTCTGTTCTCACAATGGTCTCGCACACAATTGTCTGTTCTCATAATTGTCTCACACACAATTGTCTGCACACAATTGTCTTACAAACAATCGTCTTACACACAATTGTCATAGACCCGAATCAATGTTCTATTCAGCTATATATATATGAAAGAAAAAAGTTTACATGTTGAAGCAGACAAAATTTCTTTGTAGAAAAGTAAAAAAAAACATATCTAGAAAAGTTCAAGAACACATTTATCTGAAAACTCGTCCAAGTTTATAGTAAAGATAAAGCATAAGCCCAATGAAAAATTTATAATTATCTCAAACATTATCTTAAAATTGCTGAATAAACAAGAACTTTTTTCGCTGCTTTTCAATATTTATCAAATTGTTCAAGTAGATCGAAAGGAAATAAAATGAAAACTATATGATTCGATAGAGTAATCAATGCTTTATTCAATTGTATCAAAATAAGACATTCTCAAGATTCTACATAAATACAGCAAACTACACAAAACTATCAAAAATAACTGAATCAAGCTGTATGAACATCAGACAAGAATTTAACCCTTTGGCTACCGACATAAGAGAAGGAAGAAACGCTTTTCTAGGAAATTTATTTGTTTTTTATGGAGCGGTTCTATAGTGTGCTTTGATAAAATGGTGGTTTGGAAAGTGCATGATGCCTGACATTTGTTTCTATGCAAATGCTTCTAAAAACCATATATTATGAATGATTTCTTTGATTCACATAAAGATAAGACTCCTGCCGTTTATAAACGGCGGCGGTAGCCAATGGGTTAAGCAATAAAATAATGAACCATGTGAAACTCCTAAACTGAAAAAGTCCTGGAAGATTCTAGCTACATCTTTTTAGGAGGATGTCAAACATAATTTCTATGTTTTTCGGGATTCTTAAGGATTCAATATGTTGATAGGATCTTAGCAAGATCATAAGAAGGTTTGTATGTATGGGAAACTGAGTAAATTTGGCAAGACTTCAAGTACATTTTTGGAATCTGATACTTTCTACAGTATGGAACAAAAGTAACAGAACAAATAGTTTTTTCGATTTTTTCTTTGTACATATTCAGTTAGATCTCATATTTTTACTGCATATACCAGGTGATATAATTCAAAGATGCAGCAGATCATCGGCATCTAGATGTAGAAACGTGTCCAAAAGTATATAAATGAGACGAAGCGTGCCAGTGGAATTATATCAACGAGCGTGTGAATCAGTACCTGAACGATTGCAACTTTGAAAAGACTTACAGGGTGAACACATTGAGTAATTTTTGTGAAAAAGTTCATCGTCAAAAAGACTTCACAAGCACGTATTATTCTGTGTCTCATTTTCTAGTTCTATTGCTTTAATAAACGTTTTGTTAGAACTCAGAGTTGTTTCCTTACTTTTGGCTATTCTGTAATTGTACGCTTTTGAACAAATTACTACACTTAGATACTGATCATATCCTACATCTTTGGATTATTTCGCCTAGTATATGCAGTAAAAATATGGGATCTGACTAAATATGTAGAAAGAAAAAATCGGAAAAATTATTTGTCCTGTTACTTTTGGCCCACCCTATACATTAGAGATACTGAGTAGATCAATGTTGATCCTATCAGATCTCTCCATAGAAAATAATTCAGATACGTGAGTTTTATGTGTAATTTGGAAAGGCTAGATAGGAATCGGATAGGCAGGAAGTGATCTAAAAATCTATGGTTAACTCTTGATGAAAAACAACTTCGAACAATTGTATTAAGATCCTAGAATGGCGAATAAAGAATAAGACCTGTGAAAATCTGAAATTGTAAAAATTGTGGGTATATTCTATCAGGATCTTGCTAGGATCCTTATGTAGTACTTCTTCTGAGTATACGTCTTCGAGCTAACACGTCATTGATATTGTTGGAAGTGTCTCAAGAATATGAATTTTGATATACTTACTACATAAATGTCGATCCTTATCAGTGCCCATCGGGCATCGATGGGAATATTGGGAATTACTACAATGAACGAAAAAGAAAAGGAATTATCGTTATCGAAGAGATCTTCCTCTCTCTCACGGAAGAAAGAGCTATGAAGGAGACATTAGTCTTCTTCGAAAGGAATTCGGTAAAACTTTCGAGAATGTTCTTTCCTCAGATAAAAATTCAGAAGCATTTTCCTAGTTTCCTATGAGAAAAAGGATTTCGTAACGATTCTTACATCAATGTTACTCTTAGTTTTTGCCAAGATCTTTTTAACCCTCAAAACCGCATCTGGAGATTGTTGTAAGGAGATTTTTCCGAGAAAGACATTGGGATCTGACGATGTTGTTGGAAATTGAGAGAATTCAGAATTTTCTTGCAGAATGATCATTTATATGAACATCAGAGAAAATTCTATCTGCATCTTGTGAAAAGAATGTCGAATCATTGAACAACAAATGCCAAACCTAATCCCTATATTTTTTTAGGAACCTTAAGGATACATGATTTTCTGCATGGTGAATGTAGATCTGCCGAAGAATCTCCTTAGTATTTCCATAGAGTATGCCAGTGAAATTCTATAAGGCTTTTTGCAAGTTATGTCAAGCTGTTCGAAGAACAACTCTGATAGGGTCTTAGCAAGGTCATCAAAAGGCTTGGATACTACAGGCGAAACTGAGCAAAGTTGAGAGGGTTCCACGCGGATCTATCTAATCTGATGCCTTCTACTTTTGAAATGCTGAAAAGATGGATGCCAATCTTAACGGAGCTCTCGAGTGAACAACATTGAGATTTATGGATTTTATGGGCTTTGTGAAGGGCGGTGGTAATGGGATAGCCAGAACGTGGTCTACAAAGCTGTTAGTAAGTTTGTGTGAAAAATGACCTTGAAACCATTGTATGAGGATCATAGAAGAGAATCTTAGCGGCTAACAAGAGAACCTTCCCAGGTTCTAGAACGCTTTTTGAGTCGAGGTTTCGTGCATAGGAAGTAACAACATTCAGCTTTGTACATTATAATGTATTTCATATAGAAGAATTACAATTTTGTATTCAAATTCTGACGATTTAAAATTTCATTCAAACTAACAGTCTAATTTATTCATGCCGATTAAGAGTGTAATCAAGATTCTAATTTTGCTCTCATATAGAGAACACTTGCTATCTTAGTTATCTACACTATAGTTTCGATAAATTCATTGTCACGTATTTGATAAACAAAAATGAAAACTACTATTTTTAAATAAAAGAAGATACTGTCCACAACTAAAGGCATTCGAACTTCAAGGAAAAACCATTAAATAGAGTGGTTGTTCTGAAGAGTACAATTCTCTCTATTTGAGAATCAGTATGAATTTCGAACTATATTTTTGACTTTTGCATAAAATATGAACCGTTGTAAGCAAAGACTACTAAATTGAGTAATTTTTGGAAACTAGAAATATATTTAATATCAATATTCATTTTAACGATCATTTTCTCATTTTTCACTTGACACAGTCGACAATCGAGATGAATTTCTGGTAAGACATATTCTCTCAGTGGTTTATCAAAAAAAAAAGAAAACAATTTATAAGAAGTAGTTTCCTAACAGTCAAATACAATACTCATGAATCAAGTTAGTTATTTTTCTTAATGACAAAGGCGACATATCAAAGTTTTTCGGCATACGAAGATTAAAATCAATAAGAAATAGAATTTATTCTAACTTATAGAACAATTTCTAAAATTGTTCATGTTCTTTTCAAGTTTTTTCGGAGATTTTAAATTCCTGTCGAATTCTCCTTTTAAGATCATGATTTTCATTTTAGTTTCAGTTCCGAATTCGATGCAGAAAAATTCAAAACTTGGGAAATTTCGAACATAAACTGATTTTAGTCTTAGTGAAATCTTGATGTCGACAAAGCTTCCCGGTAAAATTCAAAACTAGGATTTTATTGAAAACGATGACCTTATAGAGGAAAAAATTCCATAAAAATTTATTTTGAAAATTGTTCTTTAAGTCAGAATAAATTATAATTCTTAGTGAGGTCAATAGTAGTGTGCACAAAGAATTATCTATATACAAGTTTTGTATGACAAGAAACTACATCTTGAGGATCATTTAAGGTACGAATAAAATATTCCTTATACAGCTGCTTTTAACTTTCAACAAATATCATAGGCTCTCATCTTCATAATTGAGTCTGGGACAAACAGCGTGACTTCTCTCTGGGTAATTAGCCAAACTAACATGACCTTAGTCATGCATTCACTCATCAGCAATAGGTGTATTGTTATGTACAGAAACATGTATTTTACTCGGAAGGTAAGTATGATATTCGAAACACCTCCATAACCTACGGAATCTCAGTACTTTACAGTGCATCTGGGTATGATCTCTGCATCGTTCTCAAAAATTCTTTGAATACGACATCATTCAGAAAAATGTTAGACACTACTGAACTGGCTCACTATTCGACACTACATCTAATAGCAGAAAAAGTTTAAGATAGAATGTTACTTATAATAGTTTCTTAATTGTTCGGAGGGTGAGGACTTCTTCACTGTGACGTCGAACAATGCATGATAGAACGAAATGGGATGCCATCGAATAGAGCATGAACGAAAGAACCAATGAAGTCATTTTTTCAACGGAGAATACTGTCGCATGTCAAACAATATAACATACCTGGTGTCGGTGGTGCTGGTATTGGTTTCGGTACAACTGGAGATGGTTTGGGTGGAGACGGCTTCGGTACGTCTGAATGAAAAAAAAAATAATATTTTTATCATTTAAATGAGTTCATAATGACACTATGAAAATAGTTGCTTCTATTCAGTGGCTATGCCACAATCAATCCAACATGAGGTCGAGAAAACAAAACAATCTCATCTCGGGTTTCCTTTTATCTCGATTGTACTTGCAAAAAACGGCTAATGCTCCTAAGAAATCTAAAATTTTCTCTTCGCTATTTATTTTCGTATTCCAAGAGAACGAAGAAGAATATCTCTGTGTTTCGGCTATGTTGCAGTCATAGATGTTGTTAGGAGATCGTCTGATAAGCCGGATATCTTTCATACAACTTTGACCAGTTGCAGTCATGGACAGAAAGTCGGCTTCACTCACAGTGTTCTTACATTCAATTGCTTGAGCTCTCTATACATACTGACTAACCTTACACTAACTACGAGAGTTATATCAAATGCCACAACGTAGTCAGCATGCTGTCAGGCGGATGATCCAAAACAAATAGCAGATGCGTATGGAAGAACGTAATCGTTCAACCATGATGACTGATGATCAAAAGAGAACATTTTTTTCTCATTATCTATCATCCATGGTTCGAATCTAGTCATTCTATCTTTTTCTATACTAAAGTTAGAATTATCATCTACGAAGAGATGCCACATGCTTGACGTCACTCGTAGAGCACTTTTGCTTCTGAGAGTGTTCTCCTCTTGTCGATCGTGAGGTAAGGCATTGAATAGTACCTGTCTAACTGCCATAAATAAAGACACCCGATCGTCTTAGAAGGCATAGCCAATTGCAATCTTCATCTTTAGATTAGTCGAGCCATTCCAATTAGAATAAGAATTCTACTTCATATTCACCCATTTTCAGTAAGCTTTTCTTATAAAACCTTTTACGATTCCCCTAAATTTCATCTCAATGAAGCGATTGAATGGAATGTCTGCAAGAGTGGATGTGACCGATTAGCGTATTAAAACGTTAAAAAAGTCGAGTTCGTTGGAAGCGAACTGAACAAATGCTCCTTATGCCACATAGAAGCTATGTTTCAATCAAATAGCAGTTTTTACTTTTATTGGCATTCTTACATCCTTCTTTTAGCCTCTAAGTACTTTCATATAATAGGACATGCGGATCCGTGGGTGTGCCAAAAAGTACGTCGGCTATCCCAATTGGGGATTGCGTAATACAATGGACGTTCTTTTGTATAACACTCCTTGTTCTCGCTCGAGCATCAAAGAATTCATTCTTTTCCCTGTTCTTTTTCCTCCCTTCTCTTTTCCGCATTATTTCTTTTCTCTCCATTTTCTCCCTTTAGTGCCTTCCAATCATCCGTCTCTTTCCTATTTCTCTCTCTTCCCCATTTTCTCTCTCCTTTCTATTTCTTTTTCCCAACTTCTCTCTCCTCCCAATTTTCTCTCTCTTCTCTCCTATATAAGCTCATGTTGTGTATGAAAGTGTTACATTTGAATGTAGTGCACAGTCGAATAAACATCAGGCTCACAATGAGATCAAAGACATTAAATGTGCCTCTCCATTTGTCATTAACGAAATTATATATATATATAGAATATATATATATATATTTCGTTACAGTGGGTATCCGCAAATAATAGCACTTGAGGACGCATGGATATCTTCATATAGTAGAACATGAGGATCTCTGGGCACATCGAAATAATAGGACTTGAGGATCCATGGGTACTATGACTGAATCGGGAATTGTCGGTACACCAGGAATAGCCGATCCCGGGAATGGACCAAACCCGGGAACGGCCGAGCTCGGGAACAACCGAGTCCGAGAATATCGAGTCCGGGAAGCTCGGGCTTGGTGCATGCCTAATTCTGATGGGTCGCAAAAGAAGACAGACAGAAAGAATTTTGTGCAATAGAGCCTTTAGCAATTTAAGGGGTCGATATATATGAGCTAGTGGCTGATGCACAGACTTTTGAGCCTGACAGATCTGCCCGTTCGAAATCCCCTCCTCAGACGATCTACGGGAAACCAGTTTCCCCAAAACTTGATTTGCATTTGACATGGGCCACCCAGTGGGTCATGGGCGATCCAGTAGGGTGTCGAGGTTAATAGACTTCAGATTTCTGATGTCCTTCTTTCGATCATTAAGTGATATTCGTTTTTCCGAAAACTAGATTCCTATTGGTTTTGGGCCAACCAATGGTATTTGGTGTGAATGGACTCCTGATTCGAACCTCCCGCCTCTAAAAATTCCTGGCTAACTGTTTTCGCGAAAACGCAATTTTGATTAGCTGGTATCTTAAGAGCTGAATTCCTATTGCTTTTCGGCCAGCCAATATGATTTTGAGACAAATGGACCCCAGATTCGAACTCACCACCCAGGAAAACCTCTGGTGACGTGTGTCTTCTGTGTGATCACGGAGTGCTGTGAAGTAGTTCTTCTTTACTATTAAATGCTACAATTTTATTGGTTGGGCACACAGATGGACCTTTGCAGACGGAAGACCCATGCTAGGTGAAAAATAAGTAGCCCTCGACCTGTCCCTTGATGAAAGAAGGCCTCATGCAAAGTTTGGCTGCACTGACTCCTACAGGATCCGAATGCATAAAGAACAAACAAACAAACAAACAATTAAACAACCTTTCTTCTTTATATATTAGATTATCTCTACTTGGTATACCTTTGCGAAATATGAGTGGATTGTTAGCAGTAGTATCTATTGGAATACTGGCATCCACACTGAGTATTGCGCCTTTAAAATGACCTATGTATAATGTTTTTTCGTTTGGACCAAAGAGAAATTCCTTGAGATCATCCAAATCCTGTATTTGAGCAAAATCAACTGCCACTTTTCCAGGTTGTTCTTCTTCATTACGTACAATCCAAATTTTTTTAGTATTTGAGCTCATCGTTGTTTTTTGCTGTTAATTTACCACTATTGTATGACGCAAAGTACAATCACAAATTTGAAATAAATCTACAACAAACAATTTGTGTAAAATTACACACAGAGCGTTCTCACCCTCACCCTCAATCACATATACACACACCCATACACGACTACAACGCTATACATAGAAGGCGATAACAGGTACTAGAAATCCATAAGATGAAAAATCCCATGGATGATGGACAATGAAAGGAGAATCCATAGAAGAACAAGAAAACAAGAAAGTCAAGTAGAAAGAAAGGAAAAAAAACCATTACAACAAGAAAAAAGAAGAAGAATATAAGTAGGGTGTGGGTGTGGGTGTGGGTGTTGTTCTCTTCATCACACTAACACCCACACCCGCACCCACACCCCACACCCACACCCACACCCCACACCCACATCCACCCACCCGCACCCACACCCACACCCACAC